CCCTCTCTTCTCTTCTCTCTTCTAACTGTGGAAGGTACTGTTCCCAACTTTTTTTTATTGTTGTTGTTGGGTTTTTTGTTGTTGTTTTTTATTTCTTTTTCAATTAATTAATATATTCACTTTACATCATGATCACCCAACCCCCACCCCCTCACACAGCCCCTCCACTTATTCCCTCTGAGAAGGGGGATGTCCCCACCCTAAGTACCAACCCACCCTGGCACCTCAAGTCACTGCAGGTCTAGGTACATCCTCTCCCATTGAGGTCAGGCAAGGCAGCTCAGTTGGGAACAGGATCCAGAATCTACAGGCAACAGGGTTAGGGACAGCCCCACTTCCTACCCTCCTGCTCTAGTTGTTGGAGGACCCGCATGAAATTCGCAAGTATTTTATTGAGAATTTTTGCAGCTATGTTTATTAAGGAGTTTTGTCTGTAACTCTTTCTCGTTTAAGTCTTTGTATAATTTTGCTATCAGGGTAATATTTAATATTCGCTTTGGAGAACCAACTAGGAAATAATCCTTTAGTTTCTATTCTGTGGAATAATTTGAACAATATTGGTGTTAGTTCTTTCAATTTGTGGTAGAATTCTGCATCCATCTATCCTTGGTCTGTTTTTCTTTCCTTTTGGGGAGTGGTGGAGAGACTTAGTTATTTCTTTTATTTTAATTGTAATATATCTGTTTATATTATTTAATCTCAATTTTACTTTGATAGGTTGTATATATCAAAAACTCAATTTCTTTTAGGGTTTCTAGTTTGATTTTTTTTTCCTGGTTCCATATCTTGATAGGTATTTTTCTTTAGATTGGGAAAATTTTTTCCATGATTTTATTAAAAATATTTTCTATGCCTTTGTCCTGGGTTTCATCTCTTTCCTTTACACTTATTATTCATACGTTTGGCCTTTTTGTAGTATCTCATGTAGCTTGGGTAGCTTATGTCTGGGTGTCTGAAAATTTAACACCTCCTTTGACTGAGCTACTTGTTCTGTTTTCTTCCTCACTTGGGATTCTCTCTCTTGTGTCCTTCATTGATGAGGCTTGCTTCTGAGGAGTTTGATTGACAGCCTGAGCTTTGTATTTACAGTTTTACTTTACTGGTTCATTTTTGTTCTACCTTCATGTCTTGACCTGTTCTATGATTTTATTCATCTCTGTGTTTTCGTGATCTTCATTAACTTGGTTATTCATAGCCTCTTTAACATCTTTGAGCATATTTGTTTACTGCTATTTTGCAGCCCTTTTCTGTGTTTTAGCTAAAATGTTTTTCCTGGGGCCCGTTACAAGAGGCGTCTTGGTTATTCATGGTTGTCTTTGTGCTGGAATGTAGGCCTCTGAAGTTGTGACTTTTGAAGTGTTTCTTGCCATAGCTATCTGCTTTGTCTTTGTCATGTGGTGGATATTCTTGCCTTGGTTGCTATTGCCCATTCTAGGTCCTAGCCAACTGTGATTTCTTTGGGATCCCCGATTCCCAGCTAAAGTGTGGTGACTGGTGTCCCTGTACATGTTCTGTGGGCCTGTGAGAAGTCACAAAGGAATGGAGATGGGATAGAAGGAGAGGCTGAGAGGTGTGGTGAGGAGGAACTGTCTGCACTGGAAGACTGGGTCCCAAGGGCTTGGGAGTGGGCTGGGAGGTGTTACTCAGGAGGGCAGGCCGCAGCAAGGCTAACGGTTGGTCTAGAGAGTCTAGAATGGAGAGCAGGAAGGAAGACAGAGTTCCTGCACCTGGGATGGAGCCAGCTGTTCTGACTGACTGGGAGTTTCTGGTTGAGAGTGGTTCTGCAGGTTAGCAGTAGTCATAAACTAACAGAATCTCAAATTATAACAACAAATTCTGTTAATATATAGAGTGTAGCCTTGTTCAGATAAGATGATATACCATTAATATTCTCACACATGGATGTTCTCAAATTTTCATTTCTTGACCAATGTAGAGGCTTCATTTTTCATGGACTTTTATTTCTTTGTACAGAAATCTAGAAATGTGGTAATTTTTGTGTCCTAGCTAAAACACTGTGTTCTAAAAGTTGATATGCATCTTTTTCCAATGTTTATTGAATATTTTGAATTTTGTTTCACTTTTGACAGTACTGCCCTCCAATTCACCAAACGTTCGTAGATCTAATAGAATACGTTTGAAACCTCTTGAATATTGGCGAGGGGAACGAATAGATTATCAACAAAGTTCATCAGGTAAGACCTAATTTAGAATATAGTGCCTCATACATGAAGGAATTATTACTCTAATTTACCACATGACAGGGCTTCGACATATATTACTTCATTTAATCATCACCTATACACACACATACACACATAAACACATCTAAGAATAGGTTTCAAATTCAGGTTTGTCTCATTATAGAAATGCTGATTTTGTTTCTCTTTTGTAACTGACTATTTGACTGATTTTGTAGACATTGCATTTTAGATATCTGAAGTTTCTAATTGCCCAAAGTGAATCCTTTTTAAGGTATATTTTATTTTAATTATATGTGTATAGGTAGTTGTGAGGATATGCACAGAGACAGAGTCATTGGAGTCCGAGGAGCTAGAGTGACGAGGTGGTTGTGAGGCGCCTCACATGGGTGCTGACAATTGAAGGCTGGCCCTTTAGAAGAGCAGTGCAAAGTCTTTCCTGGTGAATCATCCTTCCAGCCGAAAAGGAAACATAGTAGAACATGAGAAAATTAATATCTGATAAAGATGATACCTTCTCATTCTTAGCAACTCTTCTCTTTATAGAGGGTTAACAAGGAGCTAGATGGAGTTGCTTTCCTATTTGGGTGGATGTAGCTATGTTAAAGAACACGTAATGTGGCTTTACTGCGTGCCATCCATTGCTAGTTCTGTCACTTTCTCTTTGTTTTTAACCCTCCACTGAAGACTGCTGATTTCCAGTGAGTCACACGTCATTGAGTCTTGTTTCATCTGTGTGTCTAGACTTGCAGCTAGAGACGCACTGAAATTGGTTAGGGTTTGTGTCATTTTAGCAGCTGCAGGATGTAGTGACAGTGACATTTCCCTTGATAATTTGAAATGAAATATATATTTAATGTTTTGCTTTAAGCTTTTGATGTTATTTTTGCCTTTGTTTTTAAATTTTAGGACGACTTGTGCTTGAAATACTATCCCCAGCTTCAGAATCAGCAAAAATAAGGGCAAAAAGAAACCTGGGCAAAGTCAACAAAAAAGTTAACAAGAAACGGATCCATCTTGATAATGATAAAAGTATGAAACTTTTCCTCTCATGACTTAGATTTCATACCTCTTAAAACTTCAGACATAATATTCTCATCACTAAAACTCACTCTATAATGCCATACTCCTATTTTGAGCATAAGACAATTTTTTTCTTATTGTATAAATATTTCCTACCTAGTCATGTGGACCTTCCCTTTTCCATGTTCAAAGTATGGTTGCAATAGACATTTAATGACCTTTTTTAGAACTTTTTTATAATTGCAGCTCTGAGGGAATATGCAAATCACCATTTAGTCTTTTAAAATCAAGAGTTGACATGTTTCACAGAGGTATTGGCTTTATATTGAATTGTATGTCTTAGAATTTGAATTTTTAGCCGGGCAGTGGTGGCACATGCCTTTAATCCCAGCACTTGGGAGGCAGAGGCAGGCGGATTTCTGAGTTTGAGGCCAGCCTGGTCTACAGAGTGAGTTCAGGACAGCCAGGGCTACACAGAGAAACCCTGTCTTGAAAAACAAAAACAAAAACAAAAAAAAAAAAAAAAAGAGAGAGAAGATTTTGAATTTTTGTTTATTAGAGTACTAACTTATAAACAGAAAGTAGTTGTTAAATCTTTGTCAGTTTTCTTTACAACTTGTCCCTAATTATATTTTGTACTGATTTTTTTTTTTAAATGGAGACTAATTTTAAGTAAGTACTTTTGTTTCAGTGGTATTTGTTTTACAGAGAATAAGATAGAGTTGAGCCTGGATATACCTCTGGGAGATCCCTTTCAGGCAACATTGGCAAAGGACCCCAAAACAAGAGAGATTGTCCCCATGGGTAAGCTCAGGAATGATACCAAACGTAACAGAAACTATTGGATGATTGGTTTGTGTCTATATGGTCTCTCTTCTTCCCTCCTTCCTCTTCCTTTTCCCCTTGCTTCGTCCCTCCCTCTCTTCTCTCCCTCTCTCTCAGCACTAAAATTTACTCCAATAACTAGCCTCTGTGAGGAAAATTATGGATGAACATTGATGTCAAATACAGTGTCATGTGTTTATATTCTGAATTCTGGAGATCAAGTGGTGATACTACTACCTGTCAGGTGTGTTATCTTCTTTAGCATGTCCAGGGATTCTATAAGTGAGAAGATATATGAAGAGCTTTTTATGGGAAATTATGGAAATTTACCTGATATGCTCCAGTGTATGCTCCATGCAGAACTGGGGCACACCCAATAGTTCTGAACCTCTGGATACCAGTAATGGTATCTGGGACATGAAACCTTTGTGAACATGAATGTTAATAGCATCAGTCACTCAATCAAATATTAACTTCAATGTTAAGAGCCTAGAAGCCTCGTGCTATATTACACAGACAGTAAACAGCTTGTTTCTGGGAGGCCATACATAATTCTAAGGTATATAGTAGTATAGGGGTTTAGGGTATACTTGGGTGTTTACCAATCAAGCAGTATTTACATATAGGAAGTACTTATCTTAATAACTGAAAGGACTGACTGTGAGGAGACGTACACCATGCCCAAGGCAGCTTTTATAAAAGAGCATTCAGTTGGGGGCTTGTTCACAGGTTTACAGGTCAGGCTGTTATCAATATGGTGGCCAGCATGCCAGCGAAGATGTTGAGAGCCTGCATCCTGATCTGTGGGCAGAGAGAGACACAGGACTTGGGATTGGCTTTTGAAGCCTTAAAGCCTCTCCAGACACACTTCCTCCAACAGGGCCATGACTCCTGATAGTGTCACTCCCTGGTAACTAAGTATTCAAATATATGAGCTTTATAAGCCTATGGGGGGATTTTTATTCAGACCACAGAAATGATAACTATTCCTCCAAGTCAAATAGATTGGTTAACTACAAGTCCCTAATGGTATTGCCACTTAAATTTTCAATGAACTATTATTTTACATTTACCATCCTTAGATAAACTCTTAACAGAATTATTTTCTCTTGATATGCTTATTTACAAGGCAGTAGAGAGTAAAATACGGAAAGTATTGTTCACTGTCAAAACATAACTTGAGCTCTTCCAGGCTAGGAAAATTTTGTTTTAAACATTTTGTTGCTGTGTGCAATCCCCCACACCCCAAGATAGAGTTTCTTTGTGTGGCTGCCTGGGCTCACTTTGTAGAACAGGCTGGTCTGGAACGCATCTCTCTGCCTCTGCCTCCCGAGTGCTGGCGTTAAAGGTGTTTGTTTTCAACTTTTACCTGTTACAGTAGCCTATGCATTTTCTTTATTGCATCGTATATGTGACCCTTAACATTCTGAAATGTCTAGCACCGTAGACTGGAAGCTGATGATGATGTATTAAGGAGCTTGGAAAGCTCATGAGTGGGAAGGAAATCTGAAATGAGACAGTGATTACTTAGCTAAACCTTACATTGTAGTTTCTTGTAGTGTTTACTTATTAAGTAAAAATGTTTCTACTTAATCATCAAATGAACAAAACCAACTTGTCATTGTGATGATGCATGTTATCATGGTAAGCTTTGTAAAGGCATGGAGCTCTTTATTGTGTCTCCGTAATATTGTTTTCCATGGGAGCATTAGCGGTAAGCTAAGGTAAATAGCAGTGTTTAGTTTGCGCCAGTCACTCTTCCCTTTTCATGCACAAACTTGTTGATGGTCACAGAATCTGTTTAACACACACCTTTTAAAAGAAGGAAATCAAGGCTTAGAGAGAGAGATTAAATAGTCAAGAATCATGCAGTTTATAGTCCAGGCTGAATATGACTTTTGGAATTCTAGTTCTAGAGTCAGTGATCTATCTGCCTGTCTGTTATTACAGGTAATATTAGAATATGCAGTATACAATAACAATATGTATGTATCATTGAGCTCTCTTGTTCCAATAAGGTTTCCCGTGTGCTGCAGCACAGCTGGACTTGTATTTGGAGTCCTTTAACCTCAGTTCCCTAAGTGTGAGTTACAGGTTGTTAAACATGTCTAGTTTGTGATTGGTTTATATGTGTATTATTATTTTCCCCCTAGATCTTATAAGGCCACGAGATACATACCAGTTTTTTGTTGAGCAATATGGTTTGAAAGTTTTTAAAACATTGGATACAACATTTTTTTCTACTGGAAAATTGGTTTTAGGACCATATGAAGAAAAAGGAAAGCAGCATGTTGGCCAAGATATATTGGTGAGCATACTTCTCCACTTATTTCTGTTTCTCTGGTGATACATTAAAATTCTATATACTTAGTAGTGAAATCTCATAATTACACTACACAAAGAAATTTTCCATTTATTAAATCTGTTTGGCTGGTAGTGAGCAACTTAGGCTACTGCTTCTGGGTGATTAGAGCAGATAATCAACTACCATTACATATATGTATGTAAGTATACAGAGATGCATGTAATAACAAAGGAAAAAGGGTGGGAATTTGAAAGAGAGCAAGGAAGAGTAATGGGAGTGTTTGAAGTGAGGGAAGGGAAGGGGAGAGAGAAATGATTTAATTTAATCTCAAAAAAAAAAGGAAAACATTTTTAAAAAATGTTTTCTTACTGCTTTAAAAATGTACAGAGTATTCTTTTCTGTTGTATCCTTACTGTGTTTCAGAATTTTGTTTCCATTTGTCTACCTGTGACTTAGTACTCATTGAGATTAACTCATACATTCCCGGAGTGTGTGTGGTGTATGGTGTGTGTGTGCGCGCGCGTCTGGGTGTTTGGCTTATTTTACATAACATAAAGAGCTCTAGTTTTATTTGAGGACACAAGCGATAAGATTTTCTTTTTTATAAATAATATTTCATGGTCTCGTGTACCACAGTTTATATCCACCTATTAGGCAGTGGGCATGTAGGTTATGCCAAGTGCTCGGTTTCTGTGGATGGGAGAGCCTGAAGCGTCTCCTCACTTTCCTTCCTTCACATACATATCCAGTGCAGGGGTCGTCATATTGTAGCTGTGGGTTTAAATTGTTTTTCCTTTGAGGTATCTCTGTGTTATTTTCTATAGGGTGGCACGATTACATTTGTGCCAATGGGATAGAAATGTTCACTTTTCTGTGTAATCTTATCAGCATTTTTTATCTTTAATCTTTTGGTAATAATCACTCTTAGTAGAATAAGGTGATAGCTTGTACTTTTATTTCCCTATTAATTAGTTAGGCATTCTGATATTCAAATGTTAGCTATTTGTATGTTCTCATTTGAAAAATGTCTATGTAGAACTATTTCTCATTTTGTATAAAGATTATCTCAATTAAATGTTGGAAGTGAGAAGAGGTAGCCAGGCAGTGGTGTGCATGCCTTTAATCCCAGCACTTGGGAGGCAGAGGCAGAGGCAGGCGGATTTCTGAGTTCGAGGCCAGCCTGGTCTACAGAGTGAATTCCTGGACAGCCAGGACTACAGAGAGAAACCTTGTCTTGAAAAACCAAAAATAAAGAAACAAAAACAAGAGAGAGAGATGGGGGTGGGGTGGGGGAGGTATGCTTAGAGATGCAAGCTAACTAGATAAGGAAAATGAGCTAGAAATATATATGCAAGACTTTCTCAGTCTACATTTTCTGCTTGAGGCACATGTTTAAATGACATAAAACTTTTAAAAAAATTTTTCTAGTTAAAAGTAGACCTTCAGAATCTTTGAGGAGTATTTCTCCATTTAGAGAACTATCCTTCTATAGAGGTTGAGAATGTGAATTATGGAGTCAGAGTCCCTGATTCTAATCCTAGTTATTACGTTGACTTTTGAAAATTACCTAACTTCCGTTCCTACATTCTTCAGCTGTGAAAAGGCAGCGAAGCAGCACCTGTGTCCATATGAGGCCTAAGGAAATGAAAGACATATGTGCTGTTGGAGAACTAAGTTCTATATTTAATAGTAAGGAGAAGCACCAGTGATAAGCTAGGGTCTAACAGTCTGACATTTCGTGCCTTGGTTTAATAATAGAACTAGAGATTTAGTGTTTCCAAAAATGAACACTTATTTCTCAGTTTTGGAGTCTGAATTGTGTTTGTTGAAGGCATACTTCCTTCAGGAGGAGAGCAATGGGGAAAAAATGGAGAGCAGAGGGGAGAGGGGGTGGAGGAGAGGAAGGGGAGGGACAGAGAGGGAGAGGACATTGTGGTGTAACTAACTTTAAGGACACTAAATTTCTTTCATGATGGCTCATACTAATATCATCAAATTGAGAATGAAGCCTTGAAAGTGTGAACTGTACTGGTAAACATGGGAGGAGCCACACCCTAAGGTGTGCAGGCTTTGTATTTATCTTTACTGTTTCAAAAAATGATTACCTTTAGACAGGAACAATGAGTTAAAAAATTGAAGATGAGTGAGTGGCCCATCCCCCAACAGAGGGCCTTCCCAATGGAGGAGTTAGAAAAAGGACTGCAGGAGCTGAAGGGGTTTGCAACCCCATAGGAAGAACAAGAATATCAACCAACTATACCCCACAGAGCTCCAGGGACCAAGCAACCAACCAAAGAGTACACATGGAGGGACCCATGGCTCCAGCTGCATATGTAGCAGAGGATGGCCTTATATGGCATCAGTGGGACAAGAGGCCCAGTGTAGGCTTGATGCTCCAGTGTAGGGGAATGCCAGGGCAGTGGGAGTGGGTGGGTGGATGGAGGAGCACCCTTATAGAAGCAGGGGAAAGGGGAATGAGATAGGGGCTTGCAGAGGGGAAACCAGGAAAGGGGTAACATTTGAAATGTAAATAAATAAAGTATCCAATAAAGAAAAAGATTAACAGAATGCCTACACACGAGTACATTTTGAAGTTTGCCATCCTTGAATTGGAAGCTAACACAGCTGAAAGACCTCTTGTCTTTTTTGGTGAGGAATGAGGGGCATCATTTAGACAGTGTTTCTTTGTGTAGCCTCAGCTGTCTTGGAATTCACTGTAGACCACACTGGCCTGGAACTCAGAGGTTTCCCCTGCCACTGCTCCCAGAGTGCTGGGATCAAGGATGTGCACCACCACAGCCTGGCCCTTTTTCATTCTTAAATCTTGATGTTTAAATATGTGAGATGGGTTGTTTGTTTTATTTTGTTTTATCATTCCTCCCTACTCACAATAGGGATTTGGCTTCTTATCTTTGGTTTATTATTCCAGTTGAGAACTGTTTTCCAGAAAACTTGTAATCTTTGAAGAAGCATGTATAACATCTTTCTTTTTAAGAAAAGTTTACTGCTGAAGTGGTTCTGACTTTTCATGACATTGAATGAAGAAAATTAGAACAAAAAGTAACTAGGGTTTTTTTTCTTTTCTTTCTTTCTTTCTTTCTTTCTTTCTTTCTTTCTTTCTTTCTTTCTTTCTTTCTTTCTTTCTTATTGCCCTAACAAAGTACCACATACTAGTGGCTTAAAGTAGTGACCTCTACCTTATTTTGGCTAGTTGCACAGGGGCCAGGCTTGGTTGAGTAGTCTGGTCAGAGAATTACAGGTCAGGGATAAAGACGTTGACAGCCTGTGTTCTTTTCTAAAGGTGAGTCTGTTTATTGATATTTTTGGGAGAATTTAGTTCCCATGTGGCTATTGAACTGTTGTGCTCATTTTTTCTCTGGATGTTGGCGGCTTTTAGAAATGGCCTATGTTCCTTGGCTTGTGGCCACTTGTCCTTACCACCAGCAGCAGTGCGAAACTCTTGTGGTTAAAATTCTTCTCCTCTCCCCTCCCCTCCCCTCCGCTCCCCTCCACCCCTAAGTCTCCCATCTCTCTCTCCTCTCC